TGGTGCTAGCCTGCCAAAACTTTCATCACTGGTGCTGTTTCCGAACGTGACGTAAAACGTATCCTTGAAACTCTGACATATTGCGACAAGTACAGAGCTGTAAATAGCAATAATAAAGTGAAATGCATAGGAATGCGTTTTTGTTATAACAATATAATTTTATTTATACATGTGACGTATTATCTCTTATATAAAATTTTTTGACAGTGGTATATGTTTGTGTGTGTGAGTATGTCATTGCTCTCTATTCTGTCAAATTTTGTATCATATTGAAACCTCAAATTTTTCTTGAATAACCTTTTGACAAGCATGAGAGATGATAATTTTGCGTCATGAAAATCATTGTGTAACGACAGTTATTATACTTTTTTTTCTTTTTTTTTATATGTATGTGTGATATGTAAATTAATATTCTTGTTTATTTGTGATTTGCATACATGATACGCATACATGTTATATGTTTGAAATTTTAACTTGGTGATTACTTAATGTTCCAGAGAAGATATATTTACATACAATGGATTCTATTGCAAGTGAGAATTTATTTAAGCTGCAGTGTTTAATTAAAACCACTGAGATACAGCATAGTGTACAATGTAAACTTGGAAGAAAATTGTTTTTTGCATTGGCAACCAGCAATGCAGATATTATACTTTATTTTAAAAAGGGATCTTCCTGTTTACCTGTCATTAAGAGAATACCTTGGTTTCAAGGATTGCATAAACAAATTGCAGCTTTTTGTTTTGATCCAAGTGGGACTTGGTTATTGTGCATAACCTTGGACGGTTCTATGTATATACTTCCTGCTCTGACTCTAGTTGGTGAAAATAATATTATTGACAAAAGATGGAAGCCAAATGACTTAACACATATTCCTTTTATAAATCCTCAGCTCTCTCACTTTAGGTAACATACTATTGTATATAAAATAAATAAGAAAAATGAAATAAGTGAATATATATTTGACAATTATATAAACACTATAATTATTATTATGTAAGATAATATGTTAATAAGATTTTAAAATATTGTTACATATTTTCATAGACCAGTTGCTGTTACATGGTGGAAGGATATGAAGATGTTTACTGATGTTGGTATCATAGGAACGGAATGTGGAACAGTAGTACTTATAAATCTATTAAATGGGCAACAAATAGGTGCAACACATATAGATGGAAGTATACACAGTTTACATGTTTGTCAAAATGAGAACAAAGAGGATGCATCTCTCTTAATAACTAGTAAACTTCAGCAACAATGGCGTTTGTCTTTGGGACAACATAAATGGCACTTTTCACATAATTCTGAAAACAAAGAACCTCGCAAGGAAACGTACACAAATGGCAGCATACATGACAATATCGAGAGTTCTGTTCCTAATAAGTCTAAATTACGAGAACTTAAACAGCTCTCTGTTGAAAAACTCGCTATTCTCAAGCAGAAATTAATTGAAACAAGAAGTCAAACATTGGGCGAAAGTTCGCAAAGTAATAAAGAAAATGATAATGGAATTTTGGTTACTTCGGAAATATTACCTGAGTTCAGCAAGTTTAGTTTTATTAATCCAGAATCAGTACCAAAGGACACTTTTCTTTCTTCACAATATGACAGAGAAGGCCAGCAGTTATATACATGCTATCATCCTGTTACTAATCATATCACAGTAAGAACGATCTCTATGATTCTAATAAACAATTTTATAAAAAAATCTATATGTTAATTTATAATTGTACTCTTTTTAGGTACATGGCCCGAATCTAACTGTAATACCGTTGTCGATACACAAGATATTTCAATCGTGCGAGACTGTTTTACTAGCGCACAAATTTTTTTTTATTACCGATATTAATCAACATGTGATATATATAGTATCTGATCAGTTGTCCGAGACTCATATAAATAAAGACTGTAAATTCAATTCCGAATCTATTGTCGGAACTTTTTCTTTTAAAAGCAGTAAGGAAGTTATACGTGCAATATATAAAGTAACTAAGTTTAATAATCTGATATCGAAGAAAGTCTTGCAAGAAATGGAGAATAAGTGTACCGTACCAAAGATTGTAAAGGATATCAAGATTGAAGTACCTAGTTTGGATACGTGTATTATTGTTACAAATCGCTGTGTATACGAAGTAATTCTAAGGTTGGTTTTTAAGTTTATTGTTTAATATGGTGCAACAGTATATTTATATTTTCTAAATTTTGTTTATATGCAAATTACATTATTTAAATCCTTATGTATAGGAAATCATTATTATCAGTTTTTATGGAACTGGTGTTAAAAAAAAACGAACTGCAAAAAGCGGGAAAATTGGCAATGATTTTTGGACTGAATGGGCAACACTTGTTGGAATATGCTGGTGATATATTCTTATCAAATAAGGAATTCTCGCGTGCAATAGCCTCTTATAAAATGTCTAAGGTAAATTAAAAATCTAATTCTCAACAAAAACTGTATAAATATTATAGTTAATGTCAAAAACATCTGTGTTTCTATTTTTATTTTCAGTGTAAATTATTGAAAAGTGTGTTAAAATTTGCATCAGTCGGCCACACCTCGGAATTATTAAGTTGTCTAACTCATTGTTTGTTGACACCTGTTATTACCGAAATGCCTGTAGCAACAAGAATACATTTATCGAATTTATGTATACTTGCCTTCATCGAGATGACGTTGAGAGTGTGGTCTTTGGAACAATCTAAAGCAATCTACAAAGAGTTCTTGTAAGTTGCGCGCTTCGCACACGTAATGCAGTTACATTTTTACGTTTTTTCTTAAATCTCAACAAAACGTCTGTATCTTATAGATACTTTTTATCTACAAATACGTTTTACGACGAGTTGTTGGCCATTAATATAGCCGGCCAAACCTATCTCTGGGAAATATTGCATCACTTGGCCACGCAAAGGTGTCTATATGGTCAAACATTGGAAATTCTTATGAAGGCGATACAAATGTTTGGCACAGACGACTTTCATTCAAAACCATGTAATGTGCACATATGAATACACACACACGTATGATAATTGCATGTTTTTAACATAGAAATAACAAAATAACAGCGCTACTTTGTACGGAATTTAATATAGATTTCTGTTTTTAGACGGTTTACTTATATGCTTAAGCGAATCCGATCTAATGCAAGCGATGTTATTGAATCACGAATTAGCCAGGTCTCACATATTGTTTGTGCGCAATAATCTGCGGAACTTTCAAATGTTTGTGCTTCAGGTAAGAAATCTTAAAATTTATTTATTTATACGAAAAAGAATGCCATTAGAAATAATAAAGCTGTACTTGAGATACAAAAGATTTAAGATTTATTTTGAAATTGAAACTACGATGAAAATAATATTCATTTATATTGTGTGCGGATAATTTTGTAACGTCGTGAAATATTTTGCAGAGATTGGTGACATTGTATGATCCAACAAATCCAGTATTACGGCCTAGACTAATACAGTGTAAAACACGTCATGAAACGACACAGTACAACGTACAATCTAGTCAATGTGATTCCATAGATATTACAGATAACGTTGTGGGTACTAAATATGAGTACTAAATTTTTGTATTTTTTTAGTGAATTTATAGATTTTCATTTTACAGGTTCAACCTGATACACTTGTAGAAGAGATAGTAGAAACATTCGTATTAGTTTTATTAACGCTTATTCACAAGAAACGTATGTTGAACTCCAACTATAAGCACAATTTTTTGTACGATATGCAGTTGCCGGAAATAAGTAAGGTAATTACGACTTACGATTTTGCTTTTGCATCGCTAACATCGTCGAGCCTATTTTGTAATTTGCATCGTGATCTAACAGGAACACTTAAAGATGTCATTGCATATTGATTTTAAGAGAAGATCGCTAAGCGCTGGATTTTCTCACGTCGCTGTTATCAGAAACAGTAACATTTACACTTGGGGAAGTTCGGTGCAAGGTTGCTTAGGTATATATTTATATTTAAAAGCTTGAACAATAACATAATTACGAATTTTTGTTTTTTTAGAGAAAGAGTATGAAAAAATATGTGTAGAATTTGTCGTACATTGTTTCATTGATAAAATTACTAGGAACCGGATCCAGTATCTTGCGGTATGGGGCACCTCATGCTGTGTGCTTCTTCCGAAGTATGGAGATAGAGGTGTACAGTGTATCGTGCGGACATTGTCACACTCTGGCGGTCACCAACAACGGAATCTACACTTGGGGATCTAGTCAATTCGGACAATTGGGTCTCGGCAAGGTGCTTCAATGCTCGAGTCCGGAATTAATTATCTCGCTGGCGCAAGAAGTTATCGTCGACGCGGTGGCTGGGCAATATCACTCTGTGGCACTAACAGCGGACGGCAGAATATTTACATGGGGTTGGGGTGTTCACGGTCAATTAGGTCACGGTAACATTGACGAAAAGACTACGCCAACCTTGGTGACGGCTTTACTCGGTGTAGTTGTATGTTACATCACCGCCGGATATGCCCATACTTTGGCATTATCCGTGGACGGTGTTGTGTACGCTTTCGGAAGCAATGTTCTTGGTCAATTGGGAGCAGGCAGCAGTGCCAAAAGTTCTATACCGATGAAAGTATCTTTGCCGGATAGAATAACATTTATAAGTACGGGATACTTTCATAGTGTAAGTCATTTATTTTTATTATACACAAAATTTATTTCATCGCACGTATGACAACATTGAGAGATCAATTATTCGTTAAAAATTTAAACGTTGCGATAATAATTTTACATTGTTTTTTTTTTTGTATTTATAGCTAGCTGTCAGCAATACGAACAAATTATACACATGGGGAGCTAGTCCCCAGGTTCTTAGATTGCAAGTGCAAGCACAAAAGAGAACTCGTATACTGGAGCAACAAGATGCCAATGAGAAGAAATACAAAGCTTTGGAGGAGATGGAAAAAAGCGGTACATTAAACGAAGAAATGAAAGAATTTATAGAAGGTGGCGTCAAAACTAACTTTGCGAAAACGGATGCGACTACTTCTAATGCAAAAACACAAAAAAAGCTGTCTGAAAACGTGGATTTAAAAGATCTCAACGTTGACCAACATTCGATTGAAGAGAATCAGGCGCATTTGAAACCGTCCGTAATTGACACAAGTTTGGTGAAAGGACAAATTACACAGGTTTGTTGAAAAGAGTCTATTTGTCTCCTTAATAAAGTCAATCACTTTTGTGTCCGCCATATGTAATTTTGTCAATAACATTCGTGTATACGCGCGTAGGTATCAGCCGGCGGTCATCACAATGCGCTTATAACAAAAGACGGTTCTTTGTATACATGGGGTCGTAATTTGGACGGCCAAATAGGTAACGGCACGAGACGGGAAGTGCCGATTCCTACGCCTTTGTATTACAATTCGGCCTGTATTTTCGCACAAATACCTCCTAGACAGAACGATTTTAAACGAATGGAACGTGACGCTGACAATAGCACCAATAAGTCGAACGACTCATCGGTCGCATATAACGAAAACGCACCTGAGAACAATGGGAATATTATTAATATATCAAAATCGATACATGCGGAAAATACCAGTTTCAACAAGGAAAGAGTCAATCCTGTGATTAACGTCGTTGGAATTGCCTGCGGATACGATTACACGGTTGCGATACAACCAGGTTAAAAGAAAATGTGTAAAAATCCATATATATTAGATCTACCGGAAAGTTCTGTTCGTTTTTGGAATAAAACAAAATACAAAATTTTTCCAAATTTAAGACCATGTTGGAGCAAGATCCTTTTCCGACAACATCGGAGATCGCAGAAAGGCTTAATTCAGCTCAGCAAACCATTTCGGACCATATTTGAAAGATAGGATTGAAAAATTTGGAAAAATTTTGTATTTTGTTTTATTCCAAAAACGGACAGAACTTTCCGGTAGACCTAATATATATATAACAAGAGAATTATAAAATTATAATGCATTTTTTTTTTTATCAGGAGGTACGGTGTTAGCTTGGGGTAACAACAGCAGAGCTCAGTTGGGTCGCATTCCCGCGAGAGAATCGCGCGACGCCGACGACAAGCTCGTGTTGCTCAAATCGTCGAAACGAGTGGTGCGAGTCCCTACGGCATTGCACGTGGCTCTGGACGTTCCCAGCCAAGTTCCCGGTATTTCCAATCCGGTGATATCTTATCAATCCAACGACGCGTCGTCTCTCGCCGGACTCGTACGCCCGTTGAGTGTCATCGAAAAATCACCAGGGGAATTAACGCTTCATTACGTACTGCAATATTTCCACGGTTTATATCGCTCCGACAATATCATGAAGAAGGTTTGTCGTAGCATTGTATTTATCATTATTATTATTATTATAAGATGCGCGCGACATAATGTTTTCTGTTTCGCAGTGCGTTGAATTGGAGAACTATCAAGCTAGTTCGAAACTAGCGGCATTGGAAGGTGATATTCTCGCCGCTTTTACTTATCAATTGAAGGTGTTGCACAAATTGAGTCTTCAGTCGTTTGGGAACTCGGAAGTTCCACTTGATGACACGACGGGATCCGCGATCAAGACAACGGAAAGAGACTTCGCGACGACGGAGTCCGCTTCGTCCGAGAATATCAAGAAAAACACCGAAATGTTCAACAGACAAGCGGAAAAGAATTTGATGGAATCTCTGGAAAGTAGCGTTACGCGAAATTGGATGAAAATTCCTACGAGCAGATCGTTGAACAATTTGCAATCGTTGGCGCAAGAATTGTACACGTTCGATTGTCAAGGCGGTTCCGAAGAATTGTGCGGAATTCGAAAAAACGAAGATTCCTCTCCCAATGCGAACAACATCGAGACTGGCCCGAACAAGGACGAGCAACGAGACTGGATAGAAAATCTGATTTTCAACGAGAACGATTCGCTGTTACGGTACAAGGACAATACTCTCACATCTGTGCAAACTTTGCCTCGGTCGACCTACAAGAAGATTACGTTGAATATTCACGACGGTCAAACGGATCGGTACGTCGATACCCGTAAAGAGAGCGCGCGATCTCACGACTGTTTATCGTCCGCGCGTTTTCAAAGAAACTACGTAGTCAACGAAACCATAAAAGCGCTAAAATTCTACTTGAATAACATCAATAACGAAGAACATGTTCTAAAGTGCGAAATACTGCAAAGTGCGATCAATTTTTGGATCGAGCACAATTTGCCGATGGAAAGTTTGGAAAATGTTTTTCTCGAACACATACATATCATTTATTATCCACTTGGATTGTTATTGTTTTGGTAAGTTGTAAAACTTTTCCCCCCGTATCTTTAACACGTTCGCGACGGGTTGTACATTCTTGTACAACCACCACCGGTGGTACATTCTTGTCTGCCCCATGGGGCGGGATGAGCCACCGGTGGTACATACAGAATTGTCCCATGGGGCGGGATGAGCCACCGGTGGTACATGAGCATGTGTGTTTTTATTTCGATTGTTTTATGCACAAAAGATAGACAATGGTCAAACAACAAGTGGTATATGATTAATTTGAAAGTACCAAAAACAGCGCCGTCCCAAGGCGGAGACACAAAAATCAGGGCCCGTCGCGAACGTGTTAATATAAATCTTCTAGGCGTATTTTCTTGACATTTGTCTTTTTTTTTTTTATAGTCAAAATTCGATAGAAAGATATCTGGATATAAATAACGGATGGAACGATGAAAGCAATAATCAATGCGTGTACGATTTATTCTCAGTAAACTTTTGCCTAAAGATATTGTCGATGTTGATGCAACATATAGATGAAGGTTTGTCGCTTTTTGATTGAAGTTTTGTTGGTTTAAAAAAAACTTTTTATATAAAATATATCAATATCTTTTAAACGAACATGAGATCTGTTATATTTCACAGGTGATGTTATGCCCGAATATATTAAAATCTTTTCTTCTTTGATGGCCGACAATTACGGCGTGCCGTTAAACGGATATCCAGGCACGAGTAGAAACAATAATCCCGAACAAATGATGGAAGGAATCGTCAGCACGGTACTCTCCGAAATGGAAAATTCTAAATTATTTGCACATATTAAGGTAAAACGTGTGTGTGCGTGTGTATGTGCGTGTGTGTTTGTTTTATCTACAAAAGATCTAATTTGTGAAAAATTCTAAACAGGATTCAGATGCCGCAAATCGCTTGCTCACGACGAGGGAAGATGAAATGATATTTACTTGCGGCCACCGTTTTCCGATGTCCGTATACGAGACGGATATTATTCCAACAATGGAAACTGAATTATTAACATCCTCATCGTTAATTCTTCCATGTACGTCGCAGTATTTGGGAAACATCTTGTATCACGCGTCGAATCCAGAAATTTTATGCCCATTGTGCATAGTCGGGGCGTTGAAAGCAATGATGGAAAAAAGTTACGAGTGAAAATACTCGAAATGATATAAGCAAGATGCGTGTAACAAAAAAAAAGATTCAAGGAGTTTGTTGGATTGTTTTCGCAATCTGAAATTATATTAACGGGTTCTCTTCTCTCCTTCAATTATGTGTGAACGTAAAACATTTCGCGCGATTGTTATTATAATTTTATAAACTCGAAGAACGTATATATACAAAAATAGACACAGTATTCTCATCGACGTTACTTTTGTCGTTGATTTAACTTGTATTGAATGCCAGTAAGTTTAAAAATAAAAAAAAAGTTATGTCCCAGTGTGTCGCTGTGTTCTGATGCCGACTTGCCTCTTGGTCTCTTCACTCCCTTCTTGCATCTTCCCTGCCTCTCCCGATGTCAATTTAGTCAAAAAAACAGTTTTCTTTAGAGTAAAATCGTCAAAAGAGACGTAAGGCCAACGTACTCTCCTATTTCATACTAATATATTTTTTCGGAAATTTGCGTTTTGTGCAAATATTTATGGATTTGTACTCACGTGTTCACAGGACACCTTCCAGAAATGCGACACAAACAAAACATTGAAGAAATAAACTCGTGTATTTATTTTAAACAATATTATAAATGTCATGAATAGAGAGTGTATGATGAATATATCTCTAGACTATATACCTGAAGACTTACATAAGTCCTCAATGCTTCCTCTGTTTGTTCTTGAATCCAATGCGGGCTCCTTTCGTGGCCCCGGAAACAATACTCTTGAACCTGCCCGCATTTTTCTTCTGCTTCCTGTACGAAACATAAATGTTCAATTTGTTTCATAGTATATTAACAACTTAAGTAGTATATTAACATATAGTATATTAACATATATGTGTGTTTATATAATCCTAACACATATGAAAGAAAAACAGACCTTTTATTCAGAGCAGATCTTTTCAATTGTATATACGCATAAGGATCTGGTTTGCCTTTCTTTTTAATGTCGCCTCTAGCTTTTGTCGATCGGTACTCAGAACCAGGTTCACGTTCTACTTTTCTAGCTTTCAACGGTCTGTGAATACCCGAACCACCGGCTATATAATCACAAGAATCATATAAAATTAAAAAAAAAAAGTCGTAATATACAATAATATATTTTTGTGAACACATATAATTTTTAAATTTACCTTGATATCTTGACGTAGATTGTAGACTCTTCGAACTCATTATGTCTGACATATTTTCGCTATATTTGCGTTTCCTTCCATCAACCTTCGAAGTCGCTACGGATATATCGTCGTTGTCTTCTACAAAAAATTGATAAATTATCACAATAAAATTATTATCCCACACACACACACACACACTTATACGCGACACAATTCGAAGCAAGATAATTACTGTAATCATCTTCCGAATCGCTATGAAGAAAAGAGGCGAGTTTTTTTCTTTTTTTCTTATTTCCCTCTTCCGCGTCACTGTCGTCCTTTTCTTTATCATCCGTGATGATGAAGCGACCGTCAGGCGCGATCTTGAAACCATAATCCTTATCTTTTTGAGGAGCTTTCTTCGAATTTGGGATTTTCGAATTTGATGTGACTGTCGGTTGTGTAGCTACAAAAAAAAAAAACATTAAATTACGCGTTTAATTACACATCTATCAGAGTTGAGTTTTAACTGATTTTCTGTGTGATTCTCTTCAGTTAAATATCATAGATAAATTACAATCACTCAAATGAAAAAAAATAAAAAACTTAAAAACATATTCTGATAAGAATATCAAGTAAAATTTGGCTATAAACACGAGTCGAAAATTTAGCGTCTACGTTGAACCCCAATTTTTGAAAGAAGGAAATTTCGGACGTCAAAGTAGGATCTACTTTTCTTTTTACTCCTACTTTGAGCCTATCAGAGCCTGCAACGCGCAGCCTGATCTGAGAATTGAAACCCTACTTTAAAACTTTAGCAGGAAAAAAGGAAATTTCTCGGACGTACAGCAGCGTCAAAGTGGGATCTACTTTCTCTCTTACTTCTACATAAAAAAAAGAGGAATTGAGGTTCAACGTAGACGCTGAATTTCGACTCGCGGGAACTGACTTGTAATATTTCTGACAGCTGTTGGATCTATAAGATCGACTATGTCTTCCTCGTTATCTCGAATCCAAGCGTCTGTTTTAGTCGCTGATTTCTTCGTCTTCTTCGGCTTTTCTTCGTTCTCCGTGGCTTCGAATTCCTCGTCGCTGTCAGCCAATATCTCCTCTATGCTCTTGGGTTCTCTCTTCACGCTGAACTCCTCGTCGGTGTCGTTCTCCTGTTTTATCGCTCTCTCCGCCTCTCGTTTCTTCCTCTTCGCGTCTTCGAGTTTGTTGATGTTCTTCAACCTCTTGTGCATTATCACATCCGTCGTTGGTATCATGTCGAAGATCATTTTGATGCCGTACTTTCGAATCAGTTTTGTGAGAACGTCGCGCACTTTGTAACGAAAGTGACGCTTGCAGTCCTCGTTCATCTGCGACAAGGCGTTGATTATCCTCGGTAATTTCGGAACTACGACGAAGGACGACTTCGCACCGACGTATATCTTCACGTAAGACAAAGCGCAGTCGACTATTTCTCTTGTATCGTTCGTCAGTAACGTACAAGCTTCCTCCAAAATCTCTTCAATGATCTCCGCGTCTAGAAAAGCATTGTAACGATGCGTGATGGAAGTTAGACACAGCAGACTGTTGGTAATTGTTTCTTGATCGCCACCTAAACCCACTATCATCATATCCACGTAGGTCTTGAGATATTCGCGATTGTTGAGAAATTTCTCAGCGATCATATTGAGCAATTTGTACGCCGCCTTGCGACATCCCGTGTTTATATCCTTAACGCAAAGCACGGTTTCGGGAACAATTGCTTCCAGAAACTTCGTATTTTCCAATTGCGGATGTATCTTGACGAGATGCGTCAAACAAGCGAGACGCGCTTTTCTACTAGTCGGACAGACTTTCGACCCCGAAACCATCAGCAATTTTTGTATATCGCGTCGACGCTCCTTTACGAACTGTTCGCACACCTGTTTGTCGCTGTCGCACAGTTCCATCAGAAATCTATAGGCCTTCTTCTGCGCTTTCTTCTTGCTGTCGTCCATGAGAACAGGTTCGCACATGCTGTAGTACTTGTTCAATCTCGCGACGTCCGTGTAACCGATCAGCGTTCTCAACAGATCGTGCACGCTCTGTTTGAAGAACTCGTCCGTACCGTCCTCGTTCAATTTACCCAGAGCCTGATCGAACAATTCATTCGCCAGATCCGTGTTCGCGATCGTCATGTAAATTTTGATCGTGTCCAAAGCGGCGAGACGTTGTCCCTCCTCGTCCGTGCCGCAAGGTTTCGTCGTGTAAACCGTGAAGAGAATCGGCAGATAATTTTTCGCGAACCGAGCGAGTTGGGCAATATCGTCGGCGTTCCCGTTCTGGGTCGCTCTGGAGATCAATTTTCTCAGAGCGGCCATTCCGAACAGCCTGAGATCTTTTTTGTCCCTGACGATCATACCCAGCAACACAGCGAAGTCGGACGTGAAGTTGGTCCTCACGTCGCTCGCGTCGTTGCACAAGCTCGGCAGAACGGACCAGATTTGCGGTACCAAAAATTCGTAGGTCTTCCCGACTATCGGCTCTTTCGCTTTTTTTTCGCAAGTCAGAGCGATCGGCAGCAGAACGTCCCTGAAGAAAGCGATGGTGCCGCCCGTTATGCAATCTTTCAACAACGGAATTATCCAACCCCGCGACCAATTGATCTCGTCGTTGTCGTTTCCCAGAGGCAGGGCGTTCAATACCAATTGCGGACCCATTGTTCTGATCGCCGCGCCAATCGCGTACTCCACTTCGCCGTCTCTCCCGAACATCTTCGAATCTCGCAGCTCGCCCAAAGATTTCACGACGTCCACGAGTTCGGCGAGTTTCAACTTGCCCGTTACGTCGAAGAGCAGAGCCGTCAGGTGAAGAATATGACGCCACGCTTCCAAATATTGATAGCTCAGAGCTTTGTGCATTATCGAAACGATCTGTTTCAAAGTGCCGTTGTAACGTTTGATTTCTTCTTCGGTTTCGCAAAGCGGCGCCACGCATTCCTGAAGAATAATCTTGATTGTGTGCGACGCCGAGGCGATAACTTCCGTCTTGTCGGACATCCAGAGTTCGATACACTTGCTTATTATTCTCGGCAAGAGACTATCCAGCGTCAATCCAACACCGGGATCGGAGCACAGCTGTGACGACGACACGTGGATCAGATTGCAGTGAGCTTCTCGCATCACCGTCAACCACGCCAGAGTTGGCTGCGTGTCCGTAGCGGAGGGTTGATAATCGTAAAGAGCCCTGATGATATCCGCGTTTCTTTGCGTAGGTAACGTCGCCTCCGAGGGTCTCGAAGCGAACAGTCCGTGCAACGTTTGCAGACAGCACGACGTTATCAAGACGTTTTTCAACGTCATTATGCTCAACAAACGTTCGCAGATGGTCTTCACGTGCGACTTTTGCAAAAGATGCAACGTGTCCCTCAGCAACGTGAGAGTGTGCAAAATTGTGGCGACTCCCTGAGACGATCCGGGTCCGCAGGCTGCGTCCAGTTGCGCGATGCAGTAAGTTGCGACCTGTCCCGCGGCTGGATGATAAGTTGGCGGATTCTCGCTCTTCGTCACGTCACTGGCTCTGAGAATCGCGCATATCGCGTGTTGGGCGGATTTGCGCACCTTGGGTTTGGCGTGAGTTGTAAACGACAATATAGCGTCCACCACTTGAGCCGTTGAGGCATTGGCCCAGGTAGCAGCTTCCTGTACTCTCAACAACACCGACAAACAGCCGATGCAATGTCTCAGAATGAGAAAATGTTCGGTAACAACGTACTTCGTTAGAATGTTGACAAGAGTCTGACTTGTCGTGCCAAATTTCAGATTGAGCACGTTTTTAGGCACCGTCTTCATACACATACCTAGCAACGACAGCGTCGCCACCACGTGAACGTCGTCTTTCACCGTGTCCAAAGTTGTCATCAACGCTGCAAAATATTCCGTCGAGCTTTCCGTGCCACCTCTTTCCTTGATAATCTCCGTGACGGTCGCCAGAACAACCAAGACCTTCTTGTGCACGAGCGAACTCGATTGAAAATGTTCGAGAAACTTGGTGAAAGAAACGTTGGAACATTTGCTGTAACTGGTAGCAAACGTGTCCGAGGTAATTGCCGTTTTTTCGGTGCTCCGATCCTCGTCGATGTCGAACTTCGCCAACTGGTGCTCGATACCCTGAAGAGCGTCGTGCTTCTGCACGTCTTCCCTCGTAATACCCGACGAGCTGCGAAAATTCTGAAAGAACAGATTTGCCGATTGCTCGCGATGCTTCGTGACGGAGGGATTGGAACTGGAACTCTGGCCCTTGGCCCATCGCTTCGCCTTTCTTCTGCTTCCCAAACGTGGACCCAATTTACCCATCTCTCGTTTTTCCTTTCGACCGGTATGCGACGAGGTAAACTTGTTGCACAACTTCGGAAGAAGTTATTTCCGAGTCAGAAGAGAGGTTACAACTTGTTCTCGCACGTGACTGGCGGCATGTGACGTAAACACATCTGTGCGTGCGATAAACGCGCGTACACACGTGTGCGCGAATGTAATTCTCCGAGTCACGTGACACAATTGTTCGCTCGCGCTGATTGGTCGATGGATAGGGAATTTAAAAAAAAAAACCCACAACTGGTAGAAGACGTACGGCTGATTTTCACGTGGTTGAGGATCTCGCCAGGCGATTGGGCGATTCGACCAGTCGTGCGAACGCGACTTGAGCTCTCTCCGAGATTGTTGCGAGGTCCAAGTGGAATTTCAAACAATTCGAATCCGAGTGAACTAGGCCGAACGAGAGGAGGAGGAGGTTGAAACCTTAGACCATATATACTTATAGACACGGCCTGTAGATATGAATCCACGAGTCGAGGTGAAGCAAAGATAATATCATCTACGTGACGTCACATGTGGGCATTTCAGCAATGGCTAAATACGGCCTCGTAGATGATATTATCTTATCTTGAAGGCAGTTATCTGAAGCCGTCCATAAACGCGCCTTTGCTTTGCCCACATGTGACGTCATGTAGATAATATTATCTTTGCTTCAAGATAGTTGTCTGAAGCCGTGTCTATAAGTATATATGGTCTAAGGTTGAAACGACAGCCAGTCGGGGATCCGCAAACGTGCGAACGCGCCGCGCGGGGCCCGCGGGGGTCAAGCCAGATGCACCCAGCGGCGGTTGTGTATTGTGTGTCAATGCGAGCCACGGCCACGGCGGCGTATCGAGCGTGAAGCGCGCGCGGATATAGGTATCGCGCGTGTACATATTCTCTCTCGCATAGTCTCCGATCATACGCGGACGCAGCGCGGAAGTGTCATCATCATCAGTGCCGCTGCAGCCAAGCTGCAGCTCTCGCGCGATACGGATACCTCTCTCTCGAGGAGCGACCAACGTTCTTGTATGTGGAGCAAGAGGCCGAGCAAACGGACGATCGTCGGGAGTTGAGGTGGTGCCGGATTTCGGTTTTTTTAAACCGCTCACGTTCGTTTATTGTTACCGGTTTCGTGTAAGCGACCGCGCGAGCTCTGACTGGCACGCAAAAAACCGTGTACGTTGGGGCTTTTCAGGAATCTCGAACGTGAATGTGTACCCATCGCGGTGTCATCCTCGCGCGATCGCAGACAACCCTTTTCCCGAAGGCGCCGCTATGCTGACACCGCAGCATCAATTGTAAGTACTTGTCGTTACCGGAGCAACATCGACGCGCGGGCATCACTGCACATTTTTCGCATCGCGTGGCTCTGTGCTAACGTGCGTGCGAACTCGCACGCACGCACGCATTTTTGTTGAAACGAGAGTAGCGCATCCTCTTCTTTGTTTATCTGTTTTATGTTTTTTTTTCTTTTTTTTTTTTTTCCGCAGATATCTCTCACTCGATCGCGCGTCCGATTAAACGTTGAACTCGTGCTCCGATTTTGTTTCGATGTTAATACCGACTTTATGTACGTGTGTGTCTATTCTCGGCAAGATTTAAATTGATCGTGTTGATCTCCACATTTCGAAACACCGAGACGAAAAAAAGCGTCGTGTATTTCTGTAATAAAACCTTACATGCGTTGCACCGGAAAATGTGCAGTGAGAAAGAAAGAATGAAACAAAAAAAAAAAAAAACATTTGCAGAAAATATCTAAGTTATTTAAGATCTAATTTATATATGTATATATTTATTTACTTATATTTAATATCTAATTTATATATATATATAAATTATATTATATATATTTATATTTATATATATATATATTTGATATATTTGATGTTGTATTTGATTATATTTGTAATTGTTTTTATATGAACAAAAGTTTAATATGACTTTAAAAATAGTAAATTTATGAAGCATAAAATTGCTTATAATGAAATAATATATTTAGGAGAATGTTATATTGAAATGCTTATATTGAAATAATATTCATGGCAATTGTGTATCATTATTGCGATTTAATTTCAATATTTTTATGTCTGTAACAAATATACTTTTTTTTTTTTTCATAAAGTAAAACGCATACAAACGAATATTATACATACTATAAAAACACAAGAAAAAAATTCCGTACAAGGCTTAAAGAAAACAGTCGTTTTTTTTTTTTTTTAATATTCATTAAAATGTAATATATGATAGAACGAAGAGAAAAATCGATTTATAATATTAGTACTTTGACTTCCACTCTTTTTCGAGGTAAAAACTAATCAAATTCTCATTATAGTTTGTTTCGAAATTACAGTACTATTCCTTTGTTCTAGAAAAAAATTATTTCATTAGTTTACGATTAGATCTCGGATCGAGACACTATTTCGACATAAATATCAGCAATTGGAAATCACCACACAGTGGTCCATTATCTATCAACTTGAAATTATCGCGATAAGAATATTATTTATAAATCGATTTAGCCGATCACGAAATAAATATCGTTTGATGGCTTCACACGGCAAACGACGCGCGTTCGAATTCATTGGCTTGAACGCGATCTCGTTTCTGTTTCGTGCTTAAATATTCATTTTAGTCGGCGACTCGAGTTAATTGAACTATTAGAACGCTGCCTTCGCGTCTCGCCACATCGTCGTCGTCGTCGTCGTCGCCACCCAATGTCGCTTTCGCCACCGCGTTCCGAAGATTGTCGCTTCTCCAATAAAGTTCAAACAAATATACAATTGTCACAATTTATAAGCGTAAATCAAATATATAACATTGTGTCTCCACATAATCCATAAACATAAACCACAATCGAAAAATTTCGAGTCCCATTTCAATCGATAATGTGTGTGTTTGCGTGCCCGCACACAGTGCGGAAAGTTCTTCCGATTATTATCACACACGGCGCATTCTTAACTTTGAGAAAGAAACGTTGATAGTAATTTCTGTTTTTTTTTTTTTTTTTTTTTAATTACAGGATGCAACGTATTCGGTAAAATATTGTTAAACGCGTTAATGAACCTTTAAACACTTTCACTCTAACGTTCTAACTCTCCTTCTCGGAATTCAATTTGTGATTAGTTCATTATATTCTACTTTATCTTAAAGACTAATTTAATCGGCTTCAACAGCCGGTTCAAACGCAAAGTATGTTGCGTTAGTATTAATGAACTTTGATAAGAGTCAGTTGAGAAAATTAAGACTAATGAAATATGAGGGCAACGCGTGTCAAATAAAATGCGATCTCACAATTTCCAGGAATAAAAGATACATTTTGCGCACGCGCGCGCAGCAATGGTATTCGAATAAACTCTCTGGGAATGTTAATTCAGATTAATTATTCTTTTCCCAGTGGGGGACACTAATGAATTCAAATAGAAGCGTAAACACAATAGACGCGTAAATCTATTTTCCGACGAAAGAGCATCGGTGAAAGTTCGCAAAAAATAGATCTTATTGTTTGTCGTAAGAAAAAGTTTGTCACTCGAGAGCCACGAGGTAAAAAAAAAAAAATAAAAAAAAAAAAAGTGATAGGTCTTCCGTATTTCGATCAAGCTTTACCCTTTTACCGAGAGGAGGAGGACCTTGGCATTAGCTTCTAATCGAGCGCAAAATAATTTTGCTCGCTCCACGCATTATAGAGTGACATCGTATATAAACTTCGCTTGTGTAGGGTAAGATAGTCACGTGTGAAAAACGTGTGTGTGTGTGTGTGTGTGTGAGGAAAACCGCTAGCTTTTAAAACAACAAGGTGCAATTTCCCATCTACGCGCATCTATGTGTAATACGTGTTGATTACGGTATATACCTACCTATTATTATTATTACGCGCGTTGTGCAGTCCGCGCGCGCGCGCGCGGCGTTTTAAAAAAAATGACTCAACGCGGAAAATTATTCGCGCGTCTTCTTCTCTTTCTCGTCTTTTTTTTTTTTCAGCGAAAAAAACACACCAGTAAACTTTCGATAATAAAATTTCGATAATACGACTTTGTAACCGTGTTAACGTGTTCTTTCTGAATTGCGACACTGTGTCGATACGGTCACGTTAGCAGCTGGCAAATTATGATTTCCTTCCGGTTACTCCAAAGCTGTATCCTGCTGTCCTCGTTTTTTTTTTTTTTTCCCGACAGCGCTTCGACCTCGTGCAATCGTCGGTTTTAATAACGTCTAATTAAAATGCATCTTCCATCAGGAGAATTTATATCTTCCCTTTAACACCACGGGGGATAACTGTGTGTACAATCTTATCTCCTAAAACTTTACGTCGAGAAGAGGTTCGGTGACGGAAAACGATGGATGTTTCGTTATTTAGAAGCGCATAAAACGTCGAGAAGAGATACAAAATGTGCGATTACACAACAGATCGATGCGGTAAACTTACAAACTCGATCGCAGCGTTTGGTTCAGTTTTTTTCCAGAAAACGCGAGATGCGCGTGAGGGAAAAAAAAAAAAAAAAAAATTGATGTTTAACGTCGATCCAGAATTTTCTGGAGGGAAAAAGGCGCACAGCTGTGCTGCCGGTCGCGATATGCTTCGCTAGAGCCGTTGCGCGCGTGTAAAATCGCACCGCAGATGCCCCGCGCGCCGCGCACATTATCTCCGCGCAGTAGTACATATATATTACGCCCACTTAAAAACAATCTAAACCTCCATCAGGCGTTCGTGCCTCCTCCGTTAACATTTCACGCTGCCGCGACTACGTTTCCGCGTCTGCCATTGTCGATACATACCACATCCTCGCGATTTCTAGTCGCATTGAGAATCCAACAGACGGAACCAAAGTGAGCCATCATTCTGATTATATGACGGCGAAAGAGAACGGCTTGCAAAAAATTTTACTATCTCGTTCTCCCGCACGAATGAATTTTGAAACGTGCATTTTTCTCGAAAAATTATTATAAACATTCGATTTTTTATATTCAATTTCGTTCCACAGAGAGGAACAATGCAGATTATCGAAGTACGTGCGAATTCACTTCCGGTACGGTTGAAGTTTCTTAACTCGCGTGTTTGTCGTTCAAGTTTTTTTTTTTCTCCATTTTCAGACTCGCATGAACGGGGGATATCTCACCACGTCTAGATTAACGATATACTTTATTTACGTGTGTAATCGCTTCATCAAGCTCCGCAAGAAACAAGGCCGTGACATTTTCCGTACCGGTTTTCCACGGCGACGGCCTTTTGCAAGCCAGGCGAGCGTTTCAAAATACGGGAGATACGGTGGCTGGTTGTGTTCCCCCGGCATATACTTTGTGGCACAAAAAAAAAACATTTTTGAAGGCAAAAGCGCTAGAAAGGACACAGCGCGTTGCTTCGAATCGCGCGCGCCGTGTACGCGCGCGCGACAAAGCGCGTGATGTCGCATCGATTGTTCGGAAAAAAAAAAAAAAAGAGAAACGCTCAGAAAAAGCTCTCGCAAATCGCGCGAGATCTCATTGAAGAACGAAAAACACTTGTTTGTTCAAACATTGCGAATCACCGAATAATCGGTAATTGGAGCACCTGCAAGTGCGGTTCTCTTCAGCTGTTTTCTTTTTTTTTTGTTTTTTTGTTTTTTTCAAGACTAAAAGAGTCAAACTTTCACATCTGTATTCTATTCTTCCTCTATTGACAACCGAACGTCTTGAACGAATCATTAAACACATTCGCAAAATGCTGCCAACCGAAGTGCCAATGCGTTTCTCAACGTATCGAGCGCCGATTCTTATTGGATTATTGATCAATATTCACCCGAGTCGAAATTTAGCGTCCACATTGAACCTCAATTGTTTTTTTTTTTATGTAAAAGTAAGAGAGAAAGTAGATCCTACTTTGACGCTGCTATACGTCCGGGAAATTTCCTTTTTTCCTGCTAAAGTTTTAAAGTAGGGTTCAATTCTCAGACTGCGCATTGCAGGCTCTGATAGGCTCAAAGTAGGAGTACGAAAAAAAAGTAGATGCTACTTTGATGCTGCTATACGTCCGAAATTTCCTTTTTTCCTGCTAAAGTTTTAAAGTAGGGTTCAATTCTCAGACTGCGCATTGCAGGCTCTGATAGGCTCAAAGTAGGAGTAAGAAAAAAAGTAGATGCTACTTTGACGCTGCGTCCGAAATTTCCTTTTTTCAAAAATTGAATTTCAATATAGACGCTAAATTTCGACTCGGGCCAAGTATCATTTATATTTTCATTTATACAAATACATATATATTTTGTCAAGTTTCACAATGACCTAATATTTTTCTTGTCTCCTTGGTGCAAGTCGCGCGGTCTATTGT